CCGCTAGAAGCTGGCTAATTAGGCCCATGGACACCCCTTAGGCCCATGCCGACCCTCACCGGCTGCTAGCTACTAGCTAGTAGCCACTATGTTATCTTTCTCTATAACATTTCGGACTGCTTTTTCTGCTGCTTTTCTCCGCTAATCAGATACTTAGCACTTTTTTGTGCCTATTTGAGTTCCGTTTCCCGCAATTTGCGGTCGCGAACTGTGCCTTTAAAGGCAGCTGCCACGATAATTTGACCTCGGCCTAAAATGCTAGCAGGGCGCTATTCAGTTGAGGAAAATGGCGAAAAAAAACGAAGGAAAGGCTGAGAACCTGCGAAGAGAGACCGTCGTTCTTGATGACTCAAAAAGCAATTTCGGACGAGTTTCCCGTAGGCATCTTGCCAATAACCGCTACGGTAGGTACGGCTGCACGTATGTACTCATATATCCATGCAGCACCGCAGCCGCTTCATACCAATCCCTTCGCTTCATATTTTACTTAGCAAATGAAGCAATACGAGCATCAGGTACGGTCGTCCATTTGTGGGCGGGCGGGCGCGGTGGGCGTTTGGGTCGGTATGTTGTAGCTTGATAGGGCCTTATAAGGGCACCTTCCTTGGAAAAGGCGCTACGCAGCGCCTGCTCAGGGTCGCGGAATTCCGTCCTGCCAGGCGTATTAACCCTACTCGTCTTAGGAACTTGCCAGCTGCCTTTAAGGGTGTGCACTTCAAAATAAGCCTGGGACCACTGCGCGAAAGGTATGCAGTCTTGTTCGCTGCGAATGCTGGGGCATTTCAGAGGACTGAGCTTGGTGCGGCGCCAACCCATTCTCCACCAGTTGTGGAAGCCGGCAAGCGATCACATTGGTTTCCATCTCTTAGCTCTGTAGTTCTAGGTTTCCCGGAATATTTATTCTGACCAGGAAAGGTCAACAGGTCAGCCTGGCCATATTGCAATGAGATGCACATCATTGTACTCATCTTGACACGGTGAACTCAAACTATCTTCAAAATTTGCGGAACGATTCTCTGAGCGGAGTTATGGAGGTTTTTCTTTACTGTTTTTCTTCTTCCAGGCGCGCTGGCGCCGAAGCGTTGGCACCTGTAGTGCGACTCGCAGCGCTCTTCGCGCAAAATAGGTGTCATATTTGTGTTCAGGGGTCAAATAACCCCTAGAGACGTCATTTTAGCGAAATCTGAGGTTCTGACTCAACTTCGAAAAAACAGGGGTATGGATAGTCGTGGCTGACTGATAGCCAACAGCCTTACAACGACCAACATACTGGTGATGACTGGTCTTCGGACTGAAATAACTCTTCAGTCTGTATTTTTGCAAACAACAGTACCTGGCTTATTTATTCGTGCCGTCTGCATCATTTTCCTGATTACTGGGAAAAAATCCCATTCCGAGACCAGTCATCGATGGTAGGTGAGCTCCAAACTGCTGCTAATTACCCATGGAATAACTCACATTTTCCAAGTGAGGTCGAAAAATCAGATTCGGCTAGAAACTTGTCCCCAGGGGTAATTTAACCCGCTGAACATGAATATGATGGTATTTCATTGCAAAAACCCTTGTGACATGTGCTACGGGGGGGACAAGCACGAGCACTCTTTCAGGCCATAATGGGTCTACACTTTCGAAAAAAAACTGGGCAGTTTCCTTACAGGATAGTGCAGGCGAGCAGAGATGTTAGAAGCTTTGTCGGCCATGTTCTTGGACAAATGCAAAAAAGGGCACCCTGCCGAGAACCGATCCTACGACGTCTCGCCTAGTAAACCCGCTCGCTATCCGTTGCGCTCTACTGCCACGTTTCAATTTGACTCCATTCTTGTATATGAAGACGCTTCCACGTTTCCTCGCGATAGCATGTGAAACGACCACGCGGGGATAAAACCCTCCATAACTCCGTTCAGAGAATCGTTCTGCAAATTTTGAAGACAGTTCTGAGTTCACCGTCCCAAGACGCGTACAACGCAGCTCATTGGAAATGGCCGGGCTGACCTGTTGACCTTTCCTGGTGAGCACCAGGATGTGGTCCTTGCCCACAGGTCAAGGGAAAAAGGTAACCCAAAACTTCATGAGCAGTGCATCTAACTTCAACAACTTTCTTTCATAAATATCAGTGGAAATATGGAAACAAAAAAAATCCTAAACAAATTGTAATCAATGTTTACAGATGGACAGACGAGTACTTTTGTGGATGCTGGCTCACGAATTCCACCTCCCAGAATACATCAGCAAATATCTCCGACACCGGTATCTTTCAAACAGACGTTTCATCTCTGTTCATTAACGAAGATCTCCTTTCAGCCCCAGCCCTCTGACGAGAAAGGTTTCATTGCTGCTGTGGTGAAAAGTGCAGCGATCCGTGTATACGACAAGGAGGTTTGTGGTTTGCCACGGTTATGTGCTTCAAATATCTTGATGCTCTTATCGTCATTTCGTAGCTGGAGAACATCCAGTCGCGTGGGTGACGCAGGGCTAAACTAGGACGCTAGCGTTGGGCGTAGAGTGGTCTGATGACGTCAAGTGAAAATACGGTTCAACAACTAACACTTTACCCAGCGGTGCTGAATAGTTCTGCAGAGGCGGTAGGCGGAAATTTGGCCCGAAAATCGTGATAAACGAACCAGAGCTATGAGTTTATGTGTAGCTGGCTTTTGAACTCCTCCTGATGGAAGAGCAAATAAAACCACTGTGAGATGCTAGGCTGAATGTCTTCACCAGCTTGCCGAAATGTTGAATCCATACAAAGAGCACATTGCGTACTTCCAATAGCACGTTGGAAAGGACAGAAGTAACGCATGAATACGGATATCAGCATAGAACTACAACTAAGTCGACAACGGTGGTTGGTGTGGTTGACGCTTACCTGGACAGCCAGGCCCCAGAAATACAACGGCAGCGTGGCTCATCTCCACTACTGTAGTCGACACCTTGTCGTGCTTGTCTCTTTGCCCTACGCTCCACGAAATGGTTGCGAGAAAAACGGCTTTGGAAAGAACACCAAACCGTGTTACAGCATCTCTCGGAATCAAACTTCCCTTTCTCTATAGCGATCTAGATGGACACAGGTACCTCTCAGAACGGTTTCAGGTATCTTACCTTTGAACAACGAGTACATACAAAGAAGACAAACACCTTGTTTGCCGATACTAATGGCTTCAGAGTCAGTTCATGTTCTTCGAGAAGTCACCGAGTCACCTACGCTAACGTCACCTAGAAAAGTCATGTTCTTTCAAAGAGCACGCAGACTTTACTTTAATTGTCGGGAATGAAATGGACAAGGATGGGGGGATCTTTTTTTGCAGATCAGAAGGACAGTGGCCGCCCAACACTGTAAGTTCGACAGCGAGCATCAATTCGAACCCGGATACCATCTTAGTAGGTCCGCCAACCTCGCTGCGGCCCGGCTCCCATTATCGCTTGAAGTGGGAGAGATACACACGAAAAGGAACCAAACTCTTGATGAGGCTGAACAGCTATGACAAAAAAAAGCTGAACAAACCAAGATGAGAAGAATACTGAGATCAAAGGATATACTGCAAGGGAGAGACGAGCTCTCAGAAAGAAATGACTACGAGAACACGGGGAAGGACAGAAATAACAGAACAAAAGGAGGGAGATCCGGAAGTGAGGCGGGGAGAGGTCAGTCTATACCATTAGATCACAGTCAGTCTGAGGGAAACACAATCAGACACATCCTTCTCACAAGTGCTGTAAAGAACCTTTCATTCGGCTGCTCATGACAACATAAGATGATCGTCGCTGTTGTCAAGCAAAACAAATGCCGGCACGAAACCAGTAGGTCCATGGAGCTGGAGCGAATCAGATGGGAGAACCAACCTCGCCTGACGGCAGCCGTTTTTGGCAGCTTTCCATTCGCTCGCCTGTTTCACATTTTTGTGACTTCCGATCACGAGCGAGAAATTAGGGCGGGCAGTTTGGGGGAAACAGCGGCGATGACATACACTTCTTATCCCCGAGACAGAGGTAGGCATTTGAACATGGCACAGGATGGGTTACTCGTGGGATATTTCAATTTGGGACAATTGTCATCGGTTCTCTGTTGTACAAAGATGTGATTACGGCTGCCCTAAAATCAAAATATCTCACGAAAACCTCGGCTGCTGATACGTTCAGTTCATGTACGCAGTTACGCCTACCGCATCTCAGGGATCCTGAGTATATATCACGAATTGTCGCTGTACTCATGTTCTTCGACACGCATATTCTAGTCTGCATAATAGCAGCCGTTACGAAAAACCTCCATGCGTGTTACAATCCCAATTTTTCTAATTTTCCGCGTTTTTCGTTCAACTGATAAGGAGTGTCTTCCTTGCTCACATATATGTGCCATAACTGTAAAACCAGACTGCTGTCATATGTAGGTCCAACCGGCGTGGAACAACTCTGAGCCTCTATAATCAAGTTCAGTTCCTTCAAGTTCTAGAAGTTTTGATCGATTTCTTACAGCTTTCATCAGCTCTCGAAACTGTGCGAAGCTATATCCTGAGCAACGATGCGTCAGCTATGCCCTTATTCTTGGAACTGCAGATGAAATTGGCCGTGGTGAGTCGAAACGTCTACGTATTGAAAGCTTAACTTCGAAAATTGATGCTTGGAATTCCCAGTTTTGGGGGTAGCGAGAGTCATTCTGTTCAGTCGTCATCCGGGCACTTGATTAGGCGGCCAAGGGTCGCGACGCGGCTGCAGCGCGTCACGACCGCGGCGATCAGCTGTTTCCGGCCTAATTTGGCCATTTTCTCCCTAACTTTCACTGTACTCTCTATTTTCAAAGGTAAGTCTGTTTCATTGGCCTTTCATGGCACCGATGTGTTTAGGATGTGGGCTCTTTTTTTGTTTTGCAATGGTGTTCTTGCGTTTTTTTAGGGTAATTGTTCAATTGACTGCTTAACTGTTTAATTGTACGCAAAAATCAGAGAAATCTCAATCATAATTCATCTTATGAAGACAAGGAACAACTAATTTTGAGAAAAGCAGCCAAAACAGTGTAAATTAGGGAGAAAGTGGCTAAAATAGGCTGGAAACAGCTGATCGCCGCGCTCGTGACACGCCGCAGCCGCGTCGCGGTTCTTAGGCCCCCTAATGAATGTGCCCGGAGACGACTGTATCATGGTTGGTTTTGAAATTCCTATCTGTCACATCACGCTGTTCAAAGATTGCTCTGGGTAAAAAAGCTGTTTAAACCTGCGTAAAAAATTTCAAAGTGAGATTCGTAGCGTTAACAGAAGAGCCACCGGGAATGCAGGGCTGCTAGGTGAAAAACAGCAGTAGGGAGAACTGCGCTGCGGGCTGAGGGTGGAGGCATAAAGTTCTTGAGTGCTTGGATCACAGTGAATCTGTCCATTTTTTGATTGGCTGCAGTTCAGAATTCAGTGAACTTTTCACTTATTGCTTTCCACCTACAGGTTTCGCGCGAGCAGAGCAAACGAATGAGGGAGGAGCGCATGAACGAGGAAGACCCTACTCCGACTGGCCAAAACGGAGCCCTGTGACTAGACTGCTGTTGCTCAAAAAACATCACTCTGAGTTCTTCATGTTGATGCCTTCTTTTTAAAAGCTGTCAGGTGGATGACTGTATGATTTTCTATAATTACATTGGGTTCCTTTATGACATTGGATTTGAATAATGATCTTTCCTATTGATAACGATGCATCAGGATTACAGGTCGCTTTTGCTGTGTGTAATAGTACAATTTTTCTACTTGGTGATTCTTTCGTTTCACTCACACCATCTTGTGTAATGTATCCGAAGTTGTTTGCTTATTGACCTAAACTGTGTTTATTTAGTGTTGGAGCATTACATATGTGCGGGTAAATTTCCCTTGTGTCTTTCTTTATTATACGTGAGAACTGGAGTGTTACCATTTTAAGTAGGCGCCAACGTGTTTCTATGACGTTTGTTCTGCTTGATCAGTGTTTTGAATGCATTAACCGCTCCTATATGCCTTTGAGAAAAAAAAACCTGTTGTTAGTACAAGAAACTGGTGTGTGATCGTATGTATTTCTGCCAAATCAATTTTGATCGTAAAAAAATTATTGCTGATTAACTACTGGTGGAAAGCGGTAAGTTGAAGCGGTCGTCTGGAATGATAAGTCGCCTTATGCATTGACTGAAGGACACTGGCTAAATACACTTTAACCTAGAGATGGAGGGGCGTGGCTGCGTACTTTCTTTGGACATGCGCGGAGGCGGTTGCTTTAGCGAGCCCTGCGCGGAACATACGCTATCATTCATTATGCCACAAGGACATTATGTCCCAAATGACAAGATTTTATTATTAAGCAAAGCTGCAAATTCCGGATCAAATTCAATGACACTGTGGTCCATTCAACCTCCTAACTAATCTTCTACCCATTTTTTTCAGTCCTCGCCTTAATGACAGCCTCCCGCTCAAGTAATTCATGGTCGTCCTTCCTTGTGCAAGTTGGCCAGCCCTCAAGCTAAGAGACTTTCCCACTCTCGTGACTTCCACAGCGAGCGAGGAGCGTGCTACAGCTGCTGAAAGTGCTGGTTCTAACGCCCGCTCACTTGACCGCCCACTTGCTAGATGTCTTCTGACGAAGGGTCGCTCAGTTATTGTGTTGGGACGGCGGACACTAATCGGAATATGCATGTCCTTTTTGGCCATGCTCTGCCATAGAATTCTGCTTCTGTTTCATTAGGCCTTGCGTTCATAGTTGCGGACGACGTTGCCGCGGGTCGTCGACAATGTCGTCGGGTCTTCGGGACTACCGTCAGAAAACGCAAATACGGTTAGGGTCATATTGCGGTTACACTGATTCGAATATCTCATCCTTGAAAGGTAGTGTCGGCCACCTCGGATCCATATGTATTTCAACTTCGGAAAGTGGTGCCAATCAAGAGAGATCCAGCGGCCGTGAAGTCGCACTAGCCCGGATTGTCACTGAGGCGCGGAAATACAGGGTCCTTACAGCTAACAGCTCAGACAATTACAGACAATTATTAATTAATCCTAGATGTACGCAGTATTTTTGAAAGTTTCTTATTGTTAGAGAGTTTTTCGTCGGTGTTTCTGTTGTTGTTCGTACTTCTCTTTGCATTGGATGATATCTACGACTGGGAGATGCGAAAGCCAGGGGTTGCACAGAGACCGCATGGCGGCGTGACTGGCAGGGAGGGATTCTGTTTATGGTGTTCTTGAAGACTAGGGAAATTACTCATCAGCCACTGGTTCACAATAGCAGCAACACTTAATCGTGGGAACTGTCTTTAAGGAAGGAAATGTGACTTGAGGACAGTCAGTCACCATGGGCATCACCCATAGTCCTTGTCGCCACGAAAGATGGGGCGACATGGCTATGTGTAGACTAAAAAGAGGTTGATAAGTTACTGAAGAGGACAGTTATTCCTTGCACCCCCCCTCCTCCCGCCCCCTTAAACATCACGTTACAGAATCTGCAAGGTAAGCAGTGGTTCACATCGCTGGATTCTAGTAGATACTGGCAGGTAGCCAGTAACTGAAAGAGCTAGGGAAATTAGCGCATCTTCGACTGCGTCCGGACAGTTTCGGGTTGTACTGCCAACTATTCATGTAGATTCGTCGAACCATGATCCTCACAGGTTTTCGATAGGATTGCGTTGGAACCATTTCCTAGTAGAATTTGAAACATGCACGGCGGCGTTAGTCCTGCTGCAGCACATGTGTCCTGCGTCGTGGCCCACTCAGAAAAGGCAAGAGGTTAGACTCAAGCACTCCTTGGTATTCCTGACTGTTCATACGGCACGATGGGAAGGCAAGCTCCAACTTTCCGCTGCTTCCAAAACCACCCCATACCATCAAAGAGTCGCCTCCGAAATTTCGCCTCGAGAACACCAACGGATCGCGACGAAGGTCTCTCCAGTAGTGCCGATATCCATCTGGACCGTCGAGATTGAACTTTTTTTCATCGGTGAAGATAACCTAAGAAAGAAATGCGCATAAGAACTTGTTCTCATCAGTGAAGATAACCTAAGAAAGAAATGCGCATAAGATGTTGCCTTTTTGATTTTACAAATTTCTCAAGAAACTGCACCTTGTCCCACGACGTCGCCATGTTTGCACGCGCAAAGTTCAGTCTCGCCAGCTGGTGTTGGGCAGTCAGGCGAGGAGCTTTCTTCATGGTCTCTCGTGTGATGTGCTCATTTGATCGAATATTGTATCTTTAAGACCGGTAGATTCATCGCAGCATGGATCTGTGCCACAGAAAGGGGGAAGTTTGAGGCAGTACGCGCTATTCTTCTGATGTCTTTTGCGGACAAAGATCGTGGGCGCCCCGAAATAGGTGCTGAATGGGCTGCCTGGTCAAGTGCCTCTAAACGTTGGTTTTGGCAATGCAGCTTCTCAACAAGGACCGTCCTCTTACAGAGGACACAGGGAGGTAAGTAAGTCTGGAAAGAGGGAAGTATTAGTGTACAAAATTCCAGGTTCGATGTCCTCGTATGTATTTGCATTAGCTCGCAGAAACCAGAGCGCGGACGTGTACCAGTGTGCACTTTGCAAGAAAATGAACACCTGGAAAGCGATTAAGGTTTGGGCCTTACTTTATGTCGTTTTACAGTGATTACACGTAAGAAATTGATTTTTTCCTCAAGGTCGTTGGGGATGAGTTCCTTAGCGACCCCTGTGCTATAGGACATGTCTGCAATCCAGTCGAAGGAGGAGATGATAAAGGCAAAAAGAGTTGGATATGAGGTACTAAAATTATCGTCAATCATAGTTATTGTCGATGTTGCGATAATGTTGCAATATTGATACTTGCATCTTGCAGAAAGTTCAGGAAATAAAGAGCGACCCGCTCTTTATTTCCTGAACTATTATGCGGGGCGCGTTCCTAGGCAGGTTTATGAGAAAGGCGAGCCAGGAACATGACGGTGAGTCTGCAGTGAAAATTGCACGGATTGTGAGTACTGTCACTGTATTACAGAGGACGTCATCAGGCCCTCTATGGATGGGGATTTGGGATGAAAAGGCTAGCGATTTCGAGATGATTTTATTATCATTTGCTTGTCTCAAGGCTAGGCTGATTGTTTCAGGGCTATAAATTCGTTGAATGGTAGAGCGGTGACCCTCGAGCATATTCCGGATGATCTCGCGATGCTTAGCAACGGCAGAAGGTTTCTTCAGGAGCAAGGTCCGGAAGTGCATGTGTACTACTCCGAAGAGACCATCGAAGTAAGATGCGCACGTACTGCAACAGGAATTGTCCTTAAAATCTTTTTACAGATGGCGTGCTGCACTGGGCTATACGCCATAGTGGCTGATGGTGTTCACACCAAGCAGCCCAAGGAACTGCAGTTGTATTGCGTCCATGGCGTATGCGACGGGGGCGTGGAGGTCCCACTTCTTTATGCGATGGCGGCCCACAAGACTGAGGACGTCTACACGAAGATCTTTGGACACTTGAAGGACCTGTTCGAAAAGTACCGTCCAAGACCAGTGCAGCGTCTACGAATAGTCCTTGATTTTGAGAAAGCGTCGATCGCGGCAGCGCGGCGCCTATTCCCTGAAGCGAAGGTTGAAGGTTGCGCCTTCCACTTGGCGCAAGCCTGGAATAGGTAACAATCTATTTCGCAGCTGGCTTAACAGAAATCCCACTAAGCATTTTACAAGAACTCGTCCAAGTTGAACAAGTTCATCCAAGGGCACGTCCAAGGTTGTGTCCCACCACTCGGTCACCGCCAGAATTCCGGTGGTGACCGAGTGGTGGGACACAATAAAAGGAGTGGTTTTCCTCCCCAGGCGACTCTACCCAGAGGTACGGTTTCCCAGCGAAGTATTTCTGTTCCAACAAAACACAATTTTACAGGTTCGAGCGCTGTGGAACCCTCCAGTAGCGGCGGACCACGTCGCTTACGCGGAATGCAAGGAATTCCTGGAATACATGCGACGTGGTTCGACGGCCCTTATAAAGATATGTGGAACAAGTGGGAAATAGTAGATATTCGGACTACAAACATTGCCGAAGCGTTTCACAAGTAAGCATTGCATATAATCTCGCTAATCTTCGGTAGGTAATCACTTTCCTTCAGTCGCCTGAACATCACATTCGGAAGAGACCACCCGGATCTGCGCACGCTGCTAGAGAAGCTTAAGTATATAGATTTCGAAGCCAAGTGTACCCTGCGGTGGATGAGAGAGGTAGGTGTTCCCCTCGAAGAGAGCAAGCCACCAATCCAGCAAAAAAATTTTCAGCATCCAAGAAGAAAAGCATCTCAAGAAGCGGACCGCGAGCGCAGGGAAAATATTGAGAGGAGCATGAAAAGGTAAGATCACTGCTTAAGTAATGCTGTTCTACAAGATAATGCTTACCTTATTTAGGTTTGGGGACATTTATCGCTCGCGAGGAGTGACTACAGCCGAAATTGAAGATTATTGTAAATATATGGCACGATATGTATCTGGTAAAACTATATAATATATGCATGATAATAAATCTTCATAATAAATCGACTTCACATCGGAAATAAAGTATTTTCATTACCACACAACGAAGGCCTGATAATTCACTGTAAGCTGCTATGAAGTGGGATATATCACAACTCCAGAAAGATTGTGATATTCCCACCCCCAAGTAGCGAAGCAGTATATCCAAGCAGTAAAAAATACAGAAGAAACCCAAAACGTGAGCAACAGGACGAAACACAGCTGAATAATAGCACAACAGTGTTCGAGCAGGCCGCTCTTCTGCAATTGGGCGTCTGTGAAGGCGTCCCCTAGTGATCGATCAATCAAATCACAAGGCAGAGCTTAGACGGACGAGGTCTCCGTCCACGAAACGCGTCGCATCGGCGGAGTGGCGGGTGGCAACTACGGCCAGCTGAGCCCCAATGGCAAACCGGCCGCGCCTAACGATCGGCTCCCAATAATATGTATTGTATATAGTAAAGGATAAAGTCTCCGCCGTTGAACGCATTCTACTTCCATTCAGAATCGTAGTGGCTTATTGAATGCGATGTGGCCTATACAATGACTTGCGGTGGCCAGCCGATGTACAAGTCAGTGTTTTATCCTCCCAGACGAATCTGGTACCAATACCGTCCCCGGAGGGAGGGTAGAAGGCTTGGTTGGCCTGGGCGGGTGTCGACCCGGGATTCGAACCCGGCGCCGCGCGAGTGGTAAGCGCGCCACTTGTCACTACACCACCTCCGCCTATATTGTATTACATATAATAATGATATAATATGTGTTTTTATTAAATACAACAATAATAAGTTGTGTCGTATATGATATGCAACAATAATATTAGGGTGTCCGGCAAGTTTTGAGAAAATTCGGTCATTTTGTTCAACACATAAAGTCGTCATCCGGGCAGTTGATTATCCAGCCCAAGCGACGCGACGCGGCTGCAGCGCGTCATGATCGCTGCGATCAGCTGTTTCCACCCCAATTTAGCAATTTTCTCCCTAGTTCCCACTGTTTTTGGACTGTTTTTTTCAAGTCTTTGCGTTCATTGCCCTGTATTGATTGAAGTGCACTCGGGATATTGAATTCTTTTTTTTGTTCTTGTAATAGAGTGTTTTTTTCGCGATTTTCTTAGGTGTTTGTTTAATTATTTGTTTAATCGTCTAATTGTTCGCACAAGTTAAAAAAACTCAATCATAATTTATCTTGTGAAGACAAGGAACAGTTGACCTAGAAAAAAAAAGCCAAAAACAGTGAAAAGTAGGAAAAAAAATGACTAAACCAGGCCGAAAACGGGTGATCGCCGCACACAGTTCCTACGTACGCGGTCGCTGCTGCAGCCGCGTCTGCGGCCCCTTGACGACCGCCCTAATCAACTGCCTGGATGACGAGTGTATTAACAACAATAAAAGCGAAAAATTAGTAATCAAGATAGTGGCTCTTCTTAGCCACGACGTCTCTCCACCGATTGGGCAGATCATCGATACCTTCCTTCCAGAAGGAAGCAGGCCGGGACGCAATTCATCGACCATACGCTTGACATCCTGATGGTTGTTGAACATCTTACCCGTAGCGTAAGCCTGGAGACTCCTGAAAGCATGGTAATCACAAGGGCTAAGGTCAGGTGAATACGGAGGATGGGGCAGCCATTCGATTCCTTAATTCTTCAGCTCGTCCCTCGCCTTCGCATGATGTGGCCGGGCGTTATCCATGACGATTTGAAGTTCGCCCCGGTATCGATATGAGGCTGAAGCTCGAGACACCAGCCCTCGCAGTTGCAGAAAACTCATTAGTTACAGAATATCGATGATGTCACAGCAGTACCCTCATGAAGGATCATCATACTCTATATATAAAGCAGAAGTTGTCTGTCCGTTTGTCGGACCAATAGGAGAATAGGCTCCGCCCACAATGGGCGGGGCCTATATTCAGCTGAGCGGTGTCTCTTGAAAACGTCAACAAAACACTTAAACGCCGTCAACATTGGGATGGGGGTGAGGGCATGTTGAAATTATACCGAATACACAAACTGAGCTAAGCCTCGCACACAATAGACGGGGCGTGCACGGGAGTGAGTAGTGCCAACGACAAAAATTCGTAAAATTCCTCCGGAAGATCACAGGGACTGGGGACAAAATCATTCTCTATGGCGGACCAAGTAAAAATTTCGAAGTTCGAACCCGGAACTACCCGAGCAGCGGGAAAACGTGGAGTAAGAAGTCGGAAG